ACTTAGCTAGGATTTGCAATACGGCATTGAAGAGGAGTGCTGAGTAGGGGCATCCTTTCTCCTTACCTCCCCAACTTCCCAAGTGTATAATCGGCCACGCCTCACAACCCGGAGGCAGCAGCTTTTTCTGCCCATGGGTCCTCTCCCCATGCTTTAATAAAATCACCATTTTTGCACCAAAGATGTCTCAAGAATTTTTTCTTGGCTTTCGGCTCTAGACCTCACCTACATTCAGAAATTACATCAATACTGTTTTTTTCCTTTCTTGAAATATCTTTGTCTGGTTTTATTTATTTTTTTCAAAAGATTTATTTATTAATTTTAGAGGGGGGGGGAGAGAGCGCTTGTGCACATATGAGTGGGGGAAGGGGCAAAGGGAGAAAGATAATCCTGAGCCGACTCTGCTGAGCACAGAACCTGTTGTCGGGCTCAATCCCACAACCCATGAGATTATGACCTGAGCAAAAACCAAGAGTTGGGAGTTAGAAGTGTTCCTTCTGCTTTTATTTTCTTAAAGAGATTGTAGAGAATTGGTATCATTTCTTCCTTAAATGTTTGATAGAATTTACTAGTGAAATCTTTTTATTTTTTTAAGATTTTGTTTAAGAGAGAGTAAGCTAGAGAGAGAGTGCACACGCGCTGTGCGTGTGGGTTGGGGGGGGATGGGGCTGAGAGGCAGAGGGAGAGGGAAGGAGACACTCTCCTGAGCCGGGAGCCCCACACCCGGCTCCATCCCAAGACCCTGGTATCATGACCTGAGCAGGTGGTCTGGCCAGTTAAGCTTAACTGACTGAGTCACCCACTAATGAAATCTTTTGTGCCTAGTGCTTTCTGTTTTGGAAGATTGTTAATTATAGACTCAGTTTTCTTAATAGATACAAGCCTTTGTATATGTTCCTCTTTAATGTAAGTTTTGGTGGATTGTCCCTTTCAAGGAATTGGTCCATTTCATCTAAGTTATCAAATTTGTGGGCATAGAGCTATTTATAATGCATCTCCACACACTGTACTCTGAACCTCTTAAAAACCTAGACTATTTCTTGCTCATCATTGTATCTCCTTAGCACCTACCATATAGTAGGTACTCAATGTTTGAATGACTTGAATTAACAAAATGAGGCTTAATAGAATTTACATATCAAATAGGTAGGATAAAGGACTAAAACTACTTTGGATGCTCAGCTTTATTGGCTTTTTACTTAGTAATTGTGTATAAACTGCTTTCTTAAAGCTAGGACACGGGGGTGCAAGAGAACCTGGTTCTGGGGGTCCCAAACGTACCAGGTTCAGGCACTAGCCACTGACAAAATCCAAAGGCAGAGAAACAAGTGGTAGTGAAACAAGAAAGGGATTTATTTCAGTGAGGCCAATGCTGGAAAGACAGCAGACTAGCATTTCAGACTGTATCCAGAGAGCCAAAAATCCTTCCAGGTTTATTTAAGGAAACTGTGGGACAAAAGTGGGTGGGTGCATACAGGTAGGCAGTGAAGGTCAAATTGATCTTTGTCTTGGAGTTGATCGTGGGCTGGGTCTTG